GTCAGATCCACTATACCTAGATGACTACCCGGAAGAATTACAAATTTTGGGTACTCTCCCCTCATCCCACTGCTTTTATTTCAACACGAAATCACAGGGAAGAAGTGAAAATCAGTTTAATGTAACACCCAGTGGAGCATACTCCAACTTTGAATTCTGGTGTAAAGAAAAAATGGAGAACCCCCCACTACCCTTTACCCTCCCCAAGGGAGTATTCCTCATCTGTGGACTTCGGGTGTGGAAAATAATTCCTAAAGGAGCGGTAGGGGGACCTTGCACATTAGGTCAGATATCACTCTATAATCCTGCCAAAGTAATTCATTCCCTAATTGCCAGCCCCATTAAAACGAGCATGAAACGGGATATCACCCCCTACTCAAAAAAACTGACCCCACCTGCAGTTCAGCGATTTAAAAGAAGTGAAAAACCATCCGCAAACACAGCCTCTCAACAAGTCCCTCACCCCCTGGTTAAGCAACATCCCCTTTTTAAATCTCAGAATTTACAACAATTCACTGAAAATTGCGATTCTGACCTCCACTTTTGGTCCCACAGTAAGAATCTCTGGGGGGGTATAATAATTCCGGCCATTGGTACGACACACGCGTTAGATCTGCTCACAAAAATGGGATGTTGGCTAGCCAAAGAAGCTAATGCGACGAGTGCAGCACTAGAGGATTTACTATTAGATTCACAGCAGATTAAAAAAGCCACTTTACAGAATAGAGCAGCCATTGATTTCCTACTACTAGTTAACGGACACGGCTGCAATGAATTTGAGGGGCTGTGCTGTTTAAATTTCTCTGACCATTCTCAATCTATTCATTCCCATATAAATGAACTCCGTTCCCTCATACAACAGATCTTAAAGTCTGACGAGGTCAGTTGGGATGACATGTTTAGCTGGCTCTCCTTGGAGGGACTTTCCCAGCCCCTGAAGAAATTTCTGTTATTTCTGCTGTTAGGCTTATTTATACTAGCAATTCTCCTCTGTGTTCTTCCGTGCGTAGCCAGATGTTTCCAGGGTCTCATAACACACAATGCTGCACAAGTTTACGTTTCATTAATAAATAAAAATGGAGGAATTGTGGGAGAACGACAGGATTATGAAAGCTGGAAGGAACAGCTTTAGAAGCAGACTCACCACAGCGGCAGCTTCTTGGAATAGAT